CGGCGGAGCTTGCCTCAGACATTCGTACACAAACGGGTATTTTTCTTGGAGTTTCTGCATGAAAACGTTGGGCTGATTGTAACTGCTCGCCGGCGATGATTCGGGCTTCTCGGCAATTTTACCTGGGTACATTTTCGGGTCCAATAAGGGTCCCATGGGACCCTGCCTACTCCATGATTCCTCGTAGACTGCCAGCGGTCCCAAAATATTCTTTTGATCCGACGGAGGTTTGGGTTTTTCCAGGCAATGACAAGCACACCCCTGCTGAACATTGTTTTGTCCCAAATTTCCGAATTTCACGGGAGGTTCTGGTTTAACTCCAAATGTACGAACGTAAGGCCATAAAAAATCTTTTCTGTACGTCGTAACAAACTGATCCATAACCATCTTGATGATTGTAATTTACTTGAATTTTCGTTAATAACTAATTTATAATATTTAAAACCTTTATTTTATGCTTGTTGACATTCTGTTAAAACTTTTGATCATTGACATTTGACACGTTGTCACAACCTTTTTTGGTGGACAGATTAGTAAACTGCAAAGTAAACTCGCGGGTCAAGAATTACAGGGTTCTACCTGGTTAATATACGGTCTTATATACGTATATAAGTGGGTGGACCACAGACCTACAAACTTGTTTGTAGGTCTGTGGGGTGGACCCATTATGCGTAAATTCTGATAACTAGCTTACATTTTATATATGTATATGTATTTTTGGTTTTGACTAATAAAGAAAATGTCTAAATATTATTAATTATTGGTCGAGAAATTGAAGTGTTAGTTTTAGCGAATTTATCGATTTTGGAGAAACCCTGATAAAGAAAGTTGGTATCTATAAAAGTTGTACACGTTTACAAGGTGAATAAAACCAAAAATAAGCATTGAAATAAAGATCTTGGCTCGTTGAAATTCACTTTCCTTTTTAAGAGAAACATAAATTAAGTTACATAATACACATGTACTGTACATGAATGTGAGTATGTACATACCCACATTCTTTATCGGCATCGGGTTCTATTTTAATGCCACTGGCCCAATGCCATCCCAATGAAGAAAGTGAGTAAATATACATTTAAATATAAAATAAAATTTAAGACACAAGTCGGCTTTTTTGAAAGTTTTATTAGCTGCAGACTATTGCCGACTGCAGCTGTAGCGACTAACAGTCAATATAGTAGACGAAAGAGTTTACTCATTTATTTTGGGAAGACTTTTAAGGATTATTCGGCAAATTCGCGGTCTTTTTCATGGAAAATAGCTTATAATAGAAAAATCATTGGTAGTAATTTAAAACAATTAATAAAGAATTGGCAATAATTTTTTAGAAACTGGATTTTGTAAATTTTTGTTATTCTTTCGTGAATTTTGTAAATGCCGACTAATGAGTTTACATTCATTAAAACGAAAACCAATTGTCTCACTCTTATACCTATAAAAATTGTGCCAGTCGGTAAAATCTTCAAAAAAGTCGATATTTTAATGAAAATGCCCTATAAAGCCCGTATTACAGTCTGCAATTCTACGTGCAATAATCTTGCACGAAGGCATGCGCATAGCGACGTTTCGTGCAAGTTTATTGCCGTTTCAAATTATCGGTCCTGCTCTATTTTTATTGCCAGTTCGGTTGGAATTGCAAGAAAGTTGCTGCAAGTATTTGTAGACTGTAATACGGGCTTAAATTAGGACCTTTATAAACAAAAAATACATATATTTTATTATTTTCAGAAAATAAGACGAAATTTGCGGTAAACCGACAGATACATAACCTAAAATATTTGTATTCAAATGTCAAGGTGGGACTTTTGGGTGTGGAGCATAGTACTATCATCAATAGTTTAGTTTAAAAAATTTAAAAAACGCGTAATTTTGAGATATTTCCATTTTTAAAGTAAAATATAAACAATAGAAACTTGACATGCATTTTTTGGTAGAAAATTGAATGCTCTTTAGGTTATTTATATAAAAAAAGTACAAAAGTACATAGAATGCAGGGAGGAAATAGGAAAAAAAATTTCCCTGTTTTATTCCTAAGAGAAGTATTAAAACTCGATAATGCACCTTTTAAAATTAAAATTAAGAGTAAGGACAGAATTTTTATTTTTATGTTTTTCCATGAAATTTTCATGTTTGAGTGAAAAAAAGGATAAACCTTTTTTGGCACACCCTAATACAGGGTGATTCCCCTAACATATTCATTAGAAGTTTATGGAAAACAGAAAAAGATATTGATTTGAAACTTCTATAGCAATTATAAGCCAATGTAAACTATTTTTTAAAATTATATCAACTTTGGTTTTTAAATAGAATAATATAAATGGGTGAATGTATTGAGATGTCCCCCAAGTGAAAATGATTTTTTTTTATTTTTGGTTGTTTCACTGTTAGTCTAGAATGGGGTTTTTGGGAAGCCACCAGGTCTAGTAATAACATAAGATAAGTTGTTCTGCACTAATACAAGCATTTTAAGAAATCAGGGAGGTTAGGATTTCGTATGTTTTTTTTTTAAACACCCGTTTGTATATTTGAAATAAGTGATTGTATCTTTTGACAACTTAATATTTTTAAAAAATACAATGGGGTAGTTAAATTTTTTCTGATCTATACTTTTTATGGTTTTATTCAAGGCGTTTTGTAATTTTGAACATTTCTGTGAAATCGGAATTTCAATTGAGTTTACCGTTTTCGAGATATTTACAAAAAAATATCTCCTAATTGTGTCACTAGGCTATTGACAACGTTGCCAGCTTTTTCTATGGTTGCCAGTGTGTTTAGTTTAAGATTCTTACGATAGATGGCGGTTATGTAGGAACTAAAAAATATTTTTTTCTACGTATAAAGAAAATTGGAAAATTGATCAGTATACAGGGAAAAACAAAAAGTTTATTTTTTTTCAATGGATCAACCTATATTTGAATTTATTTTTCGATTCCTTGTAAAATTCTGAACATAATTTATATACAAACCATATACCTAAATTCAACCGTTTCTGAAATATTATCATTCGAAATGTCATCATTAAAGGTTTTTTTAAACTGTTAAAAATCAAGAAGCCTCAGTATACCAAAATTTTTATTGAAAATAAATTACTATAGTGACATTATGTCAATAAGTGTTGTTAAATAAGTAAAAATGGCGTACTCAGACAGAGAAAGACAAACTATTTCAACTTATTATCTTAAAAATAATTTAAATATTTCAGAAACGGTTGAATTTAGGTATATGGTATGATATATGAAATATGCTTAGAATTTTACAAGGAATCGAAAAATAAATTTATATATAGGCTGATCCATTTTCGAATTTTCTTTATACGTAGAAAAAAAGTATTTTTTAGTTCCTACATAACCACACTTTTAATTTTTTTGGGACACTTAAAATAAAAAAGTTAAAGGGGGGCGACATTATAGGGAATCACCCTGTACAATGTACATACATAAAATATTTATAAAAAAATCTACTTACTGAGATATTACTCTTCACAGTGGATAGGTTTTTAAATAGCAAATTAATGAACTTAAACTTTTGAATTATAAAACAGCAACACTCTCATCTGCATATAAATTCTAACTGACCTTCAGGAATCACATGCATCTATAATGTCGTAAACAGAGGTTTTTGCTTATTTAAAATGATTAAAGCGCCATCCATTGCAAAAAATTTAAACCAAAAACAGATTCACGGAGGATAGAATCAATTTTTGTAACACCTACATAAATGGTTATAAAAATTATTTATTTTAATTTTTAATAATATTTTATATTTGATTCGATTGCTTTGGATGTGTTTAATTTACTTAGTGAACTGATATTTTTAGTATGCTTTTACTACCTCAGATATTTGTAAACATATAGGTTAACCTAGAAAGAGTAACAGTCAAGGAGGATAGGTTTTAGACTTTTAATACATTGTAAAAAATAATTAATTGCGGTTAAAATCCTGGAACCTGAGCTGTAATATCTACTTAATTATGAAAGATTAAAACACAACAAAAGTGTAGGTCAAAATCATTTAGTTTTATTAAATATCACGGGGTAACACCATCGGGGGACATTTCGTGTGATTCACCGAAATATTATTGCATTTTTAAATTCTAAGTAAAATTTTAGAAATACTAAAAATTTTTTTAGTTTTAACAGTTTTTGAGATTTTTATTTTTTTTTAAATTTTGACAGATGGAATAATATTTATATGGTTCCATTAGAAAAACAAAGTTGATATAATTTTCCGGTTTAACCAGAAGTGATAACGCATTGAAAATATTTTTAATAAACTTCTAATGAATAAGTTAGGTAAATCCTCTATACTAGGGTTTTAAAATTTCCGGAAAAATTGAGCCGGCGGAAAAAACTGATTAAGAATATTCTACCGGGTGGCAAAAAACATTCAACATATTTATTTCACACTTTGATTTATAAAATTATAATTTAGTAATTTAACTTTATAAATCATTCATTATTTTGTAGTTGGATATTTTTAATGGTCTTCTTTTTGCAAAAAAGACCCAACCAACAGTTTATTTAACGTTTACACTTATTTTCTTAAATTAATTTAATTTAATTCAATGTTAAGTTAATTTTTTTTTTGTAATAAAGGATTTTTTTAATTAAAATAATGTTAAGTTATTAATTGCTACTTTTTTTCAAATGTGTATATTTCCAACAAAAAAATCAATTTTTCCCAAAAAAGCCAATATTTCCCAATTTTTCCGGTTTTTTTCCGACACTTTAAAACCCTACTGAATACATATATATTTATATCATGGTGTATCCTCCACATCCCACCTTTTAGTTTAACCCCAATTTTGTCTCATTTTCTGAAAATAATACAATTTATGTATTTTTTGCGATCTAAATTTAAACACAATAATTAGTGGTAAACTGAAAGACAGATAACCTCAATTATTTGTATTTAAATCAAAAATCTTAAGGTGGAACTTTTTGATGTGGAGAACATTATTAAAAGACACTGAAAAAACAAAAATTGATATTTTTTCTTACCGTCCATTGTTAGCCTGATAAAAATATGACTCCAATGTGTGCATGAACTTCTCAAATTGATAGAACACGGAATTTTTATCTCCATTCAAAGTGGACGTTATCCAGATTGCAATTGGAAAAATGTCGATTTTGTGATGTTTCCCCAGCTGTTTTTGCTTAAAAACTACAGGCAGCTGAAGAGTCCTTATAAATCTTGCAAACATTGTAGACACATATGGTTCCCAATCTATACGACCCATGTTGAAAATGCTCAGGCGGGCCAAAAGCCACATCATATGCTAAAAGAATCATTTATAAGAAAAAAATTAAATATTTGAATAATTTTTTTTATTGTTATGGTTATAACTAAAAAAAAAAACAAAAAATCAACAGTACTTATTAAATAAAATAAACTATTTACGTACATTTTCCCATGTGCTTGCATTATGGCATACATCCCATAAAGTCAAAAATTCTTCTAACCACAACTTGTAGCTAATGTCAGCCTCTTCAGGTTTAACACATATGGGTAAAAACATCTCAAGCAATTGAATTGCACTCGTTATTTCGCTATTAAAAGGACACAAATATGGTCTAAATTCGTCCAATATGTCTTGAGTGGCAGAGGCAGGAAAATATCTTAAAAAATAAATAAAAAAATATGCAATATTAAACAATTTTAATTCTTACATTCTAGCAGCTCTGATAAGATCAAAAATGCTGTTTTCGAATGTGGAAAAGTATCTAAACATTCCCAGATCAGATTTGCTTTTTTCCATTGTCCTAACACAGACATCGTAGAGAGGCCTCCAATCAAGTTGAAGTTCATCTCTGGATATTAAATATTTTTTCCTTGAAAATAAACCATTTTTTATAATCAGTTTTTTAAATGTTCGTTTTTATATACTTACTTTAATAGGCTTGTAAGGGTTGTAGCAGATTTGTTAATTCTAGAAGGTTCCAAGTCAGGAATAATAACAAGTTCATAAAACAATTTTATTAAAGCTATGTGATCTTCTTTTGAAAACTTTAGTCCGTAAATTTTAATGTACCTAAAAATAAAAATTTAACAACATTGTAGTATTAAACTATGGATTATAAAATGAAGAAAATTGCAAAAAACACGAATATTTTTTAGTTATTAAATAATCCAATAAAATGATAAAAAATTAATGATATTTTATTTATTAAAACAGGAAACAAAACTTAAACTGTGATAAATTTATATAGTTATACTGTTTTTTTATTTTTTACAAAACCCTCACAATAATTTACAATAAAGTATATTCTGTCAATATTTAACATCAATATTTTATAAAATGGATAATAATCCAGAATACTGTATATATAGATCCAATATGCAATTTTGGACAGAGTATATAATATTTTTAATAAAAAAGTGAAATATAATGCTTGTTCCTACCAAGCAGTCCGAATTCTAGATGGTAACAAACCTATAAAATATATTCAATTTTCCATAATTAAATTTTTTTACTGAAATTAAAAAAATTGAATTGTTATAATAGGTACTTATATAATAAATATTAAAATTGTGGTATTCAATGGAAATTTCCTAATTTTGCATAATTTACTGAACATAGCAACAAATAGGTACTAAAATATTTACCTATTTTACTTTTTCGTTAAAATTCTCTATTTTTATTTATATTTATTAAATTATAAGTATGTAGGTATTTGAATTTTTGTTTGATTGGTTTTATTTAAGAAAGTTAGTTTTCCATGGCAAAGAGCGTTAAAAAAAACATAAAACGTGAAAAAACCTGAACATGTTTGTTTCACGTGAAAATACTTTTTAAGCTATTCATCATGAAAATTAAAATTTTTTCTGAACTTTAAAATATTATTTTCATTAATTTTATACCTACCTATGAATAATATATATAAAACACATAATAAAAATAAAACTCAATTATAGGTTATTCAATTCTTAAAAATATCTTAATCGCGTGAGTTCGTCATACCCTATATAAATATTTGTTTTAATTTAAGTAACATAATACCTATGAATTTAAAAGATATTTGTGTTTTTATTTAAAAGAATAAATAATTTATTTACTGTTTTAAAAAATTTGTAAGGTATTTATTTAAGTAACTCTTTTAAATAAAACATATTATTTTCAAATAATAATTCCATGACAAGCATTTTAAGCTTGATAATATCAAAACCAGCTTGTTTTGACAATAAATAATTAATATGCAAATCATCATTAAAATAAAGGACACCCGGCGCCGCAGAAAATAAAATTTGGATCACACGCCCAAAAACATCCGTTTTGGGCTCCCAATATCAATATTAATTTCTTACAATTCAATAAATAAATCCAAATAAGTAAAAATAATAAATAGGAAATACAAATAAGTACTAAACTAATATGTCCTAATATTACAAGAAATCAATCAATTTTTTTTATTATTAGGTACATAAAAATTAGAGAACGCAAAAATTAACAAAATATACTGGTCAACTAAAAAAAATCAAAAAACTAAACCAGATAATCTATAACAGATTCAAAAAATAAACAAATTAAATAAGCTACCTACTAATATGAAATCATCATTTGGTTAAATAAAATATAAAATATGGGATAAGTGAACAGCAGTAACTAGGCAAACCTGGCAAATAAAAGGGGTCAGGAAACTCAGGGGGGAAACGATGTTTAAATTTATATTTAAGAAAAAACCCGAGGGGTTCAGCAAGACCAATAGTAGTAGTAGTAGTAAATATATTTATTGGAAAAACCAAAAGGCTATCGACTGAAGTCTTTCTGCCTATATAATACAATTATAACGTATTTTTCCTTATCAGTCGTTATCAATAAGGAAAAATCTTTATCAATAGGAAATTTCTCTTAGCGACGCGTTGCGAACGACTACCCTTGTGATTGTTTTCCTTAAAAAATAGCTGGTATTTATTGTTTACAATTGTCTTCTATTTCTTCTCTGTCTTTTATTATTCCACCAGTGGAACAATATTTTCATTATTCAAATATACTTTGTTCATTGTTTTTGAAGAATAATCTAATTTTAGGTGAGTGTGGAACAAAAAATATTTGTTAAAATTTTTTTGCAGTAATGCAATAACTATAGTTTAAAAGAATAGTTTTATAGATTTTTTTGTTAGTTTCTTTTAAAAACTAACATATATGCCCATAGGCACAATTCTTTGAAAAAAACAAACAATATTTTAGCTTGTTAAAATTTATTAAATATTATAGATTGTGGATTTAAAAATAATTTGTTAATTTAAAAAAAATAATGATTAGGTACCTACTTAATAAATCTTTTAATTAATTGCCCCCTTCCATGACAAGCATAATGGGCTTGCAAATGTCAAAATGTGCATGTTTTACTTATCATTAATCAATTTGCAAATCATCAACACATAAAGTTCTCCTTATTAAAAAAAAATCACTTACTTATTTAGCCGAGATGTCCATAGGGCACATCCAGGCCTCATTTCCCTTGCCAAAACAGACTTAACAAGGTTCGTTTTAATATCAGTGAACAATTTCGTGGATTCCTCATCCAGGTCAGCAGCGTAGGGCAGGAATTTGTTGTAAACATTTTCTTTTTGGGGCTTGAATCCCAACTTTTGCAACCTGTCGTTTCCATTCTCAACATCTTCGTCCATGTTAACAGAAAATTATTAAACACTTAAGTCACGTAAACGGGAAATTTCGCGAAAAAATACAAAAAGACAATCACAGTTGAGTTAACAACGAAAAACTACTTGCTATTTGAGATTGTAATAGTCATTTTTGCTCAACACAAAGTGGCAGCTGTTTAACCAATAGCGAGAAACGTCAAACTAAATGTCAAATCATGCCAACTAATCGCGTACGAGTATTTAAGCGCGAGATTTAACTGCATACTGAAACGTCAGTGGAATTTATTTTTGAAGTTCATTTTAAAATACCCAATGACCTGTTATTCGAAAAGGTTGAATTATTCGGTATTTGCACTTGGACGAACCTTTGTTTTGGCTAAAATTAACCAAAACATGTAACAAATATAAAATCATTTCGCTATGTTTAAAACAGTAATAACTTTCACTTTTTAGGTTTTATTTATATATTTACCGAGATTCTTTCGGAGGAATACACTCATAAAAACAACAATAAATTAGAAATTATTTTTCGGAGGAGAACCTTGCGGGACACCCGTGTCTATGGGCACGTGCGGTAGTTCACAAATGAAATGACATACAGATATTGAGGTTATGTAAATTATGAAACATTTTGCAAAAATAGGCTATAATTTTTAGATTATTGTTTAAATATTTTTAGTAAAATAAGGTAAATCATTTTTTAGATAAATAAAACCGGTTTTATCTCTGTAATGTTAAATAAAGCTAATTTTAGGTAAAAATGTCCAATGTCATGAAAAGTTTAGTAAATATACAAAAAACCCAACAACTAGGCTTAATACGTTTCTTGTGCAACTATGGAAAAGGTAATTACCTATTGTTTATGCTTTCTATAAAACATTTTAATTGCCTTTTTTAAGAAATTGGAAGACCAATTGGACAAGATTTGTTAATGCAAGATTTAAAAAGTGCAGGGTCTGCTCACAATGTTTTAGATATGGTGGCTAGTCATTACAGTATAATGAACAGCAAACACAGCATGCAGGCTCTAAGAACAATATTTGAGCTGCAAAAAAATGAAAGGTACTTTTTTCTAAAGAGTTGGAAGATTAAGTGTATCTTCCAAATATTTTATCTAAGGTTTAATGTGATAATAAATTTTATTTTTAGAAATGGTGTATCAATGAAATCTGTGCTGAAACACCCAAATTTTGTTAAATTATGTAAAAAATTAAAATCACATTCAGGTCATATAGAATTAAATGAGACCATAGAGGCTTTAAAAGTCTTAACTTTTTTGGGGGCACCATCAGATAGCATTATAAATCAAATATTATTACAACTGATAAGGCAAAACATAAATTTTCTCTCTTTAAATCACATAATGTTTCTTGATTTTCTTTTGGGGCAATACAAAAGTACCCCCCTAGTGGATGCCCTGAAAATAGCTTTGCCAATGGTGTTTGAAATAAATTTACCTATAAAAATGGAAAGGAACAATTTAACCCAACTAACAGAATGTCTATATTATGCCTCCAGAACAAAGCTAAACAAAAATTCAGTACAATTAATAGTAGATTCTCTATGTAGATATAATGATACATATGACCCAAAAAATGCAAAAAGTATAATATGGTCCATAACTGACTTACCTGAAGATGATTTGTTTAAGCCTCTGCTTGAAAAAGCCATTAATTCTTTAAGTGTAGACTTGGAAAGAATTTCTTATGGGGAGATTGATAGCACACTCTCAAGAATGATTCTTAAGTATTCAGCAAAATATCCTTTTTATTATAATGAAGTGTTTCTGGATAGTTGTGTTAATTACGTCATTGATAATGACTTGGGCCTGGAAAAATCACTATGTTTCCTAAGGAAATTCATTAGAGTTGTAAGTTTAAAAAAACGTGTACTTATACTTGGTGTACCATGAATGTTAAGTTACACTTGTATACTGTAAGAGAACTAGGCACAGATTTAAATAAAGGAAAATAATTTTAATACTTCAAATGACCTTTAACATGTTTGGTACACCCTGTATAACAATCACAAATAAAAAACTAACCGTTGAAATTTGCAACTTTACTTTCCATAGAAAGTGATTTTTATTGAAAGTAATTACCCAATCAGAAAACTGCATTCTTTGTCCCAATCTAGTGTGCTGTGGAGAGTGCTGAGCTCCGATTGGTTAATCTCTTCCGATATATAAATCTATAGAAAGTAAATTCGCAAATTCTAATTGTGGGTTTGCATTAAAAAAAAACTTTTTTTAGTTTGAAAACAAATAAAAGTTTAAAGATTGTCAAATTTTAATTGGGGGTTTGCTTTAAAAAAAACTTTTTTTTATTTAAAAACAAACTTTAATGATTGTCAAATTTACTCTATAGTCCGTTTTTTGATTTAGAGTAATATTACCAGATGTAAAATATTTAGGTAAATTTGATATGCAACCCATTATACATTAAAAGAATGTATTTAAATTCTATACTCAAAACTACATATTTAAGGACAATTTGTTATTTTATGGTTATATATTTTAAATTAACATAAATAATTTATTATAATAATGATATAAAATTAAATCTGACAACAGGTCAGTATTCCTGAAATCAACAGGATAAAAATGGATATCATTGTTTTTTGTTAAAATGTTAAAAAATAATTCTATTTGACTATAAACATTTATCGACCAAAACATTTTTTTTAATTTTATTTTTTTACCCGTTAAATGAAATATTTTAAACTTTTCAAACTAAATTTAAGCCCGCTGCACAATAGCCCGGTGACGGGAACGGGACTCCTAACAATAAAGGTGGGAGAGACTAAAAAACCACTGTTGATAGATAGGGTTCGCTAAGTCTCTCCCACCTTTACCGTTTAGTTTCCCGTTCCCGTTACCGGGCTGTTGTGCAGCGGACTTTAGTTATTTTTGGACTGATAAATCGATTATGATAAAACTTTGGCATATGGTAAAGCAACTTACTGGAAAATTGTTTTAAAATTTAAAAAAAATCTTTCTTTATAATATATAGTTTATGAACTTTCTTATAAATAATTGATTTTTTTTCTAAAGAAGTCCGTCGAAAAAAAATAATGATTGATCAACTTTTTTATAAATGTTTAATTGTTCAATTGATTTTTTCTTAAGATTCTAAATCCGTCGAAAAAAATCCTAGTGGATATACCAGTGTGTTTTTACTTAATCCAGGAATGATTAAATGAAAAAGATACTTTAGTAAAAAAGTGTTTTTTACATTTTTGATTAAAAAATAAGTTTTAAATCATTTATAATCTTAAACAAGTGAATCGCCACTGTATTATGCTAAAATTACAGAAAAACATTCTTTGATTTTTATGGTTTTATCTATCAACATAATTATTTAATGGTGCACATGCATATGTGTTGATAGATATTTTCTTGATACACCCAATAATAATTAAATGGTTAAAAAGTTAAAAATATTATCGCTGCTTACAAAAAACAAAACCTGGAGAACTTGAAAAATGTTAGAAAGTATTAATTTTTCAATTATTTTTTTTAGATTTTTAATAGGTCCAGAAGACAAAACACATTAATTGTTCATAAAAACTATGCTAAATTATTATATAAAAATTAAAATTTTGTAAAATTCAAAACAATTTTCCAAAGTCAGTTTTATTACTTTCAGTAGTTCAAGAATAACTAGATTTTGTTTCATAAGTTTGACAATTTGACAATAACTTAGATAAACAATTAAATTAAGAACAATTGTTTTGGTTGATTAATTTTTATGGTCAAATAAAACAGTTTAGTCTACATTTCCACAAAAACAATGACAGGTACCCATTTTTATTGTGCTGATTTCACGAATTCTGACTTAACATTGTCTACTGGAAATTTGTCAATAAACATTATGACAGTTTTGAGCATGCTTAAAATATCCATGGGTAAAAATTATATTGTAACTAATTTCCTGGGTTTTCAAAAATTATTAAAAACTACATGGTAAATAAAATATTGTTTAAACTTTGTTTTAAGACCATTTTCTAAAAATAGACAAACCCCCAATTTGTACACCAATTTAATTTTTAATTACCAATTTTAAATTTTCTAAAAATTAGGTACTTTTAGAACCACTGGAACAAGTACTTACTCGACTATACATGCAAAAAAATCATAGAAGATCCAAAATTTTTCAAATCTGAAGTTGGTAATGTTTATGCTTTAGTTTGTTCGATGTGTCTAACTGATTACAGACCAAAAGAATGGGAATCTGTAAAAGAAATTATTAAAGGAATTAAAAATATGCCAAATAATTGCAAAAGAGACGTACTATGGATGAGATTTGGTGCTGCTCTATGTTTATTGGATATTTATAAATTAGATGTTCTGAGCAAATGCCTGAATGAAACGTATTTGGACTCTTTATTTAAAAAAAGTATGTAGTATTCCATGAATTACAGTGTCATTGTCAAATTTTACATTAAACTCACCACTATGGAGCCTACACAAGGAGTCTGAACTTCATGTATACAAATAACTTCCTAAAATAAGAGAGCGCTGGTTTGGTTTGTACCAAAACAGCATACGCAACCATAGACAACGGATATTGGGTGGGCCTAATTTGTGATATTTTCCCACGTTTGCGAATTTTTCATATTAAATTCGGACTTCTTGTGTAGGCTTCATGTTGACAACTTAACTCTTACATTTGACATAAAAATGACAACCCAAAAATCTACTAAAAATATTTTTTAGAAGTGTTTATGTCGGATATCGAACATTTCCTGACGATTTGGTACAGTTTAGACCTGTATAAGCAAGATTTTCTTGACCTATTGCCTGACAAATACAACCTCAAGTTTCTCCACTCAAAAATGTGGTATATTACGGAATTTCCTCTAAAGGGCGCTTTGGAGAAAGGAGTGGGGGGTCAGGAGTACGTCCTGACGAATGTAAAATCCAAAATAGGACATCAAATAGGTGAAAAGTATAGAAAAAAATAATTGTTGGTTTTTATTTTTTGTTTTTTTTAGATCATGCTATACTGTTTAGAAAAGGTGGATTTCCTGTAGCGGTGCAAAACGAAAATGTTGAGTTTATTGAGGATATCAGTATACCAGAGGACCATCAATTGTAAGTTCTAAAAAAAAATTTTCTTGATCATTTTTCCTGCTTGTTTTCAAATCTTTAAAACACCAGTGTTTTTTAATATCTCTACGGTTTATTAAAGTTTTTTTTTGAAGCTATATGCTTCTTAACAGAGGGTTGAAGTTTTGGAATGGGGAATTATTACAAAAAAAACCTTAGAAGAAAAAACCGACCGACACTACAATTCTATTGTCAACCTAAAAAGGTGACAGATGACCATATATGTATAGTCGACGCGGCGAATGTTTCAAATTGCGTCATCAATATCGAATGTCAAAAACCGATTTCTCACGAGACGCTAAATGCCACTGGCGGCTCCTCTTACTGCACATGATCGCTTAATTGACAAATGTGCCGCAAATGAAAATATTAAAGGCACGTTAGTTACGTTATAATTATAATCCGTAGATAGCTCAAATGGTAGGGCGGTCGCTTTTTGTTTTATTGTCTATAGGGAAACTGTATTGTGAAATATCTGTGATTTTCGGTTGGGTTGTGTTGTTGAGTTTGGGTTGGTTTGGTTTTATAACGTAACTAACGTGCCTTTAACATTTCGAATCGCGGCATATTTGTAAATTAAGCGATCATGCGCAGTAAGAGGAGCCGCCAGTGGCATTTAGCGTCTCGTGATTTCTCGACATACGGTTAACCTAGCGGTTCCTTGGATTATACAGTTCTTTTTTTTACGCTGTTGCTAGTGCACCGCGTGCGGTGTACTATTCTGCACCGCCAAATTATATATTACGTCATAAACCCAAACCAACCCAAACTCAACAATACAACCCAACCGACCCCGACCCATTGCCCCCCCCCGCCCCATTGAGCAAAAAACTCAACTAAAATGGGCAAAAAATTTATACATAACCACAATTAGATTTATAACTAGCTTAGTTTGTTTTAATCAATGCGACCAACTTGACAACTGTATTTACCAACCAAAACCCTAAATTTGCAACGTTGCCGCAATCCAGTTAAAAAAAAACTTTATACGTAAAAGAAAACAACAATCATTGTAATGTCTGTGCTTGGGTCAGAATTTGACGCAATGTGAAACATTCGCCGCCACAACTACACATACGGACCCAACAAAATATTAATTGCTTAAGCAACACTTTGACCAGTGTCAAAGTGACAGATGACGTGCTTGGGGACCCAACAAAATATGACAGGTGTCAAGATGACAGATGACAGGCAAACCATATACAAAATATCAAGTAATAATATTGCCAAGTTTACAGATGACAGATAAAACACTCTATATACAGGGTGTTATGTAATTAATGTTATATATTAAAATGGGTTGTTCCTTAGGGTCCATAAAGAAGCACCTGAAACTTTTTTTTTCTAAATTCCAAAGTCTAAATAAATAATTTATAATAACCTTTATCCTACCAAAAAGTACGCCACCGATCGACTAGGAACTTTAGGTTAATCTGGTGGATTTATTATGTTATGGTTGTTTCCAAAATCTCTCAAAAAAGTTGACATACATTGTTTAAATTTAGCTTAATTACAAAAATGACAAAATTAACAATGCAAATTGTCAATTTGGCGTTTTTATTAATTGTTGGTTATGTCATTTTTGTACTGAAGGTAAATTCAAACAAAATCTGCCAACTTTTATGTCAGAATCTAGTGCATTTCTTTTAAATTTTAGGTTATGTTTTTAAATTGTAAATATCTTAACTAAGGGAAGTGCTTTTGGATTTATTTACACAAATTAAATGTTTAAAGTTAAATCTGTGAACTGGTCCCAATTTCATCTGAGTAAACAGAGAAAAAAACTGATGAAAAAATTAATTTTGTGGTTATGGATTTCAAATTTCAAAGGTACTAAATTTTCTAATCATTGCTTAAGCTAATAGCTGGATCAGTAAATAAATACAGAAGGGTATTAGAGCTTTAAGGGCATAAAACTTTTGTATTTATTGAGTTTGTATTTATTTTTTGCAAGAAAAATTTTTAGTAACAATTTTTTACATCTGGCAACGCATAGCTACTTTGTTGGTTGGTATCTATGTACTCACAAAATACAAGTGTGCAGAGTTAAACCAAGTGTGTAACCAGTGGCGTATCACAAAAAATATAAAAAACTTCTAAATTAGAAGTTCTAATGCATATTTTTTCTTTATCTTTGGAAAAATGTTTTTTTAAATATTTTTCCTTTATTCCTTATGTCAAAAGGTATTCAGTATTTTAATATATAACATTAATTACATAACACCCTGTATAGCACATGTACAAGAAAAAATGTTGTGCATCCACTCACAGACACCTGTTTTTTTTAATTTTTGACTAGGTACTCAGAAAAATGTGTCCCAATGATTTATCCTGCATATTTCTAAAAACCCAAAATGTACCCTGGGGACCACAATTAATCCACACACATGTGTGGATTGTGCTTGGTACATACTGTATAATTTTTGTGTTATATTAAACTCTTAACTTCTAAAGCTTAACCAAACTTTTTTGATTTTAGGGTCTGCATATTTTATTTAAAGCCAATTTGTTATACAATCAATAAAAATATGCTTCGAGAGGGCATTCGATTTTCTTTAAATTATTTAGAACAAAAGGGTTATCCAACTATAAGTATAAATGGAGAAAATTGGCATGAATTGGAAGATTTCGAAAAAATACCATACATAATGCAAAATATTAAAACCAAAGTAGAAAGTGACAGTATATCTCAAAGTGTGAATTGTTAATTTTTTAATAAATAAGTATAAAATAATATGTTTTTTATTTGTTATTTTACCTATCACACAAAATACCATGTTTATTATCATAAAACCTGGAGTTTTATAAAAATACATAGTTTTACCGTTTTAGTCAATGGTTTTACATTTTCATAATATTGATGGCTTTGTCGTTGTAGATTTGATTTTGGCGCTAAAAATATTGGCGCGCCTGCTCTCACGCAGTGTTGCAACACTTGTCCTTGTTTGGAAACATGGCATCGGCGCGCTAGCCTAGTGACAGAATGACATCGAACCAACCGCCTGATTCGTTTGAGTTGTTGTGCAGTTTCTTTTTTAGATGACGAAAAAATAAAGTGAAATTATGGTTTTATTATTGTGCTCAAATGTGAAAAATGCATCATTAATTTGTCGAAACATTTTGCTCGTTCGTAAACTGTTGGTATTAAAGTGAAAACGTTATTGTTGTGCATCTGTGCTTGGGACCTTTCAATTTGCACGTACGATGGTCTAGGTTGGCCCCAAACTGCTTTAAATCGTGTCAAATTCATAATTAGCACGCAATAGCATCAATAATCACAGTAAAATCGAAGAATTCTTTCAGATGAACAAATTGGTAAGTGGTGATTGTTTGCTTTGTTTATAGAGGGGCTGTACGCGACATTTTCCTTCATTTTCAGCAAGTAGACGATCCGCCTTACCTCGCGGTGGGCACGGCCGTCAGCGCCAAATACAAAGGAGCCTTTTGTGAAGCTAAAGTTCACAAGTTAGTTCGGTGTGTTAAATGCAAGGTAATAATAACAAAAAAAAGATTAATTAAGTATCTGTTCTCCTTGTCACTTTCATTTAAAACAATTAAGATATCTTTTTACTATAGTTGTTTTGTTGTTTTATGTAAATAATTTATTTGTTATGTATAGGTTACATTTAAAACTGGCCTGGGTACAGTCACAGTAACTGATAATGATATAAAAGGCACCTTGAGGGTAGGGCAAGTAGTTCAAGTTAAACACCCTGTTAATGCTAAAGATTATGTCGAGGCTACCATCACCAAAATGCAAGATTGCAGCCAATATACAGTTGGTAAGTTGTGAATAAAGCACATGGTGGGTGGACCAGTTTTTATTGTAAAATATGATTATATGGTTTTTAAACATGATTTTATCCAAATTTGAATTCTATAACCCCCAGAACTAAAAATATCTTCAATATTCATTTTACAAAAAATGTGAAAAATTTAAAATACAGAGAATAATGATCTCCCAAAAAGTTATTAAAACTAAGCATAAAATTTAAATAAAAAAGATATTTTGCAAAGTGGAACACAAAAACTGAAAAATTATTACCTTTTTAATAATATAATAATAATAATAAATCATTTATTGCCCAAAAATTTTAGTTAAATATTATTGGACAAAAGGGACATGCTCAGATTTCCGTTAACAGAATCTGTTCTTCCGCAACTCCCTAAAATGAAATAAATTTAATTCTGTTAAAATTGATATTCATTTTACGTACCTATTACAAAATATTATTATTAAAATATTGTTATCTACCTACAAAAAACGTTTTCACAACTTTTGTCATGTATTTTAATAAAGGTAAAAAACAAATATTTTAACTCTTGGATTGGAAAATTGTATGTATGTAAGTAAGTTTCTTTATGAAATAAAAATAATCCCAGACTTACATACGACAATTTATATATTACAAGGTATATGTATTAGAATTGATTATTATTAAAATTGACTTAGTCCCTTTTTCGTTCATTTAAAGAGTTTGATAAATGAATAACAGTAGGCTGACAGCAAATTCAGGGGTACCAGTAGTAAAAATAAAACGTATTTTACGGTATTTTAATTAAAAAATTACAACTTTATAAAAAATTAAAGTTTCATTAAAAATTAATAACAACTTAAAAAGTAAATAAGTAACAATTTAAATTGTTAATTTGTTATAATCGCAAAATTAGGGTTTAAAACTGTCATATTTTTATGTTCCTTAAGTTGGCATCACGAAATTTAAAATGGCCTATTTAAAAAGTGCTAAAAAATAATTTTTTGAGATTTCCATAAAAAATATACTGTTATAATCAATTTCTAAACCATTAACATAATCCTCTTGGGTTGTAATAGTTTAAAAACATTTTTTTTTTAAATCTATGGAAAATAACACTATTTCAAAAATTTGTTTCTAAACTCGATTAACATAATAGGATCATGTCTGCCTGTTATGAAAAAAAATAATATAATGTCAGTCAGGTTTTTGCCATAATATTACACAGGCCGACAAAAATAAAATTTCTGTTTGGTGCATGGCAACCAACAACTTTTTAAGGGTAATTTAGGTACGCTGAATCCAAAAATGAACATCATTTTGCTCAGCTCTTGTTTTTGAGATGTAGAATAAAAACCATTTTCTTCGATATGCGCAAATTCAAATTCTTATATATATTTTTTTAAACTTCTAATTTAAGCAAGGATAGTTGGTAATGTTGCTATGGGTCTTTATTAAACTAAAAAAATACCATATACATTGATAATGGTATTCTCTGTAAAAATCTTGCTTTCATCAAAAGAAAATCGATTTTTTAGGCAAAATTCGGATATTTTTAAAATTCAAAGTGATACAGCATGATCAATTTTTGCCCGATTTAAATAAAATTTACCCTATTTGTAGCTCTATTTATCTACTTTATAGTAGTCAATGCAATCAAAAATTGAATGCGAGTAGTGCTGCCGTGCTAAGCTAAACCCCCGTATCTGCAATATTAAATAAAATATCATTTTCATTGTTAAAAACAATAAAAACTATATTTTGTCCTTTATTATTATGTATGATAGTAGAGTATTGAGAGCAGCAGCAGATACTTTACTCATACTCTCATACACTAAAACTACTTAATAGAAAAAAAAAACAATAATATTTTTGACATCTTCTTATTAGACATACTTAAAATCAGGTCTAAAATCCTAGGCACAAAAATTGTCCACTTAAATAGGCTCTGTGAATATTAATAGCTATTCACATTTATTTAAGTGGTACACGTAGTTTATTTAAGTGGTACACGTAGTACCCAATTTTGGTTGATTTTATTGCCATGTTGCCAATTTTTATTTGATTGCATTGAAATTTTATCACAATAAAGTAGATAAATAAAGCTACAAATAGGGTAAATTTTATTTAAATCGGGCAAAAATTGATCATGCTGTATCACTTTGAATTTTAAAAATTTCCGAATTTTGGCTAAAAATCGATTTTCTTTCGATGAAAGCAAGATTTTTAAAGAGAATACCATTATCAATGTATATGGTATTTTTTTACAGTTTAATAAAGACCCATAGCAACATAACCAACTATCTTTGCTTAAATTAGAAGTATAAAAAAATATATTGAAGCATTTGAATGTGCGCATATAAAAAAATGGCGTTTAGTCTACATCGCAAAAACAAGAACTGATTGAGCAAAATGGTGGTCATTCTTAGATTTGGGGTACTCAAATTACCCCAAAAAAGTTGTTGTCTACCCTGCACCAAAATGGCAAAATCATAAGCAAACTCGAGAGGTACAAAATACATTCTATGGAAACTCAAATGGAGATACTACATTAATAATAATAAGTTTTTACTTTAGGTCTTTTATTTGAAATTCAATATATTTAGGTTTATAAACATTTCAAAAGTACATCAAATTGTATCTATTTAAATTTCAAAATATTTTTTTTTTATATATTGATTATTATTTAAATGTTTTACTATAGTGAAAGTCAGTGAAACTTTTAGCTTGGTCCATGCTTATTTTATGTTTCAAATCCAAAAAAACATCCCTTCACATTTTTCCTATATTAATTATTACAACATGTATGTAAATTTTAATGTAGGTAAATCAGTCAAACACATAAAAATTTTGTTTTTAAAGAAACGTTTGGTATGTAATATTTTTTGTCTAAACACCATATAACCATATTCTGAAATAAAAAGTGGAGCCTTCAAAATGTAACTTTTGATCCCATAGGTACCACCATAAATAAGTTTTGGTTCATTTTTTGACAATATTTTTTTATAGTTTTCGATGATGGAGACATTACCACCCTAAGAAGAACCGCCTTATGCTTGAAAAGCGGCCGCCATTTTAACGAAAGTGAGACTTTAGATCAGTTGCCATTAACTAACCCTGAACATTTTGGAAATCCTGTTATAGGCAGCAGACGGGGCAGAAGAAACAGACAACTAAAGTAACATCCATTGAAAATCTTATTAAATATATTTATTAACAATTTATCATTACAGAGAGGACAGCAGTGAGGGCGAACCTGAAGAAGAAAATGAGCCGGATTTGGAAGGATACAGCATAGATATTGGTCGCGTTAGGATGTACGAACAGACAGATAAAAAGAGAATCAAAGACAGCTGGTTTCCAGGGCTAGTTGTGATACCGTCTTCCACATCCACTACAGGAAAAATCAACGTTAAAGAAGAGTATTTAATACGTTCTTTTAAAGATGGGAGATAGTAGGATAAACGTTTTTAAAAAACATAAGCAAATTATATTAATGATTTTAAATTTTCAGTTACACAGTTCCAAAGAAAGAGACCAGGGATTTTAACGGAGAATCTGAAATAAAACATGATAGTTCAGCTATTTTAACAGAGGCTGTTAATAAAGCTTTAAAATATTTGGATCACAATGAGTTGCCAGTTCATTGGGAAAGGAGTTCTTTGTTTAATTCGCAAAATATCGACAGTGACTCAGAGGACAACATATCAGATGTAAGTCTATAAACTTCTGGATTTTTCATTAAAAATATTTAAATTCACATTTTTCTATTACAGAGTTCTGATGATGAACCTTCAGAAGAAAAAGACCTTTTCGTTGCCCAACTTTACAAATTCCTGGATGATTCTGCCACCCCTCTAAACAAAACACCCTCAATTCACGGCCGCGACATAGATTTACACCGACTTTTCAGAATTGTTCACAAACTGGGGGGTTACAATAAAGTTAACAACAAAACCAAATGGAAAGCCGTCACCATGGGCCTAAAACTGCCCTGCAACCAAAACATTTTCAACCAAGTTAAAAGTACCTACAAAAAATGCTTGTTGAGTTATGAGAACTTCAATAGAGCCCTTGGGGTGACCATGTTAAACCACACTAGATCCACAAAGAAAAATTCTGGAAGATCACTGATTAGAGATAGAGATAGGGGTACACCAGTTAATAGCCCCAAACCTGAGAAGGAAGAGGAGTTGGAGAAGAAGGAAGAAGTTGTTGTTAAGCCTCCACCAGAAGTGAGCAAACCGCCACCGGAACCTACAATCACAAAATCTAAGAGAAAGTTGGAGGAAAAGAAGAAAAAGGAGAAGGAAATTTTGGAGGTGAGCGATACAACTAGCAGTGGTGAGGCTACAGATCAATCTGAGTCAGTTTGTAGTACCTCAAAGGAGACTAGAAGACCCAAAAGGTTTGAACCAAAACTTAAAGAGAAAAAAGGCAGACCTGCTCAAGGTGAGAAAGTTAAAGCGCTGGTGGAGAAGTTTGAGGAAGTTACCAAGAAAGATGAGGATAAGGTTCAACAAACTCGATCAAAGAGTATTACAAAGATAAAAGAACCACCTGCAACACTTGAGAAAAAAGAGAAAGTGGAAAAAGAGAAACCATCTAAAGAAAAGGATAAAAAGGATAAAGAGGAGAAGGAAAAGGAGAAAGACAAAGAGAAAGAAAAAGAGGTGGCGCCCAAAACACCAAAAGCCAAAAAACTGGAAAAAATCGAGAAAGAAAAGGAGAAGGAAAAGGAAAAACCTCCTGAAGAAGAGAAAAAGAAAGGTAGAAAACGCACCACCGACGAAAAACCATCGGGATCGGACTCCGAACCCGTGATCACTGTAAACATAGGCGATAAGTTGAAAGTCTACTACGGTCCCACACACGAATCTAAAGTCACCTACGAGGCCAAAGTAATCCAAGTGGGCAAAGACCAAACGGGGACAATATTTTTGGTACACTATACCGGCTGGAATACGAGGTACGACGAGTGGATAACTACGGCACGTATTGCGGAAAATCTCTCTTCATCAAAGGCCAAAAGGTTGAAGCACGCCAGTGCTAAAAACTCATCAGGGCCGTCTTCTGCTACTCCCAGCAAAGGGGCGGCAAAAAGAGGCCGTGGTCAATCTATATCGGGCAAAAATGCCGAAGTACCGCGTTCGACAACGCCATCCAGTGTTACTTCTTCAGGAAGTAGAACTAAATCGCCTGCGACGCCGGCCACAAGATCCACAAGCAGAGTGCAAGCTAAATATGGTGAGGATTTTTAAAAATCATTGTGGCTATGTTTATTTTTTTTGCTTTTTTATTATAGATTATTCAAGGAGATCTAGAAGAACTTCGGCTCAAACCGACATTTCGATTCAGTCTGAATCGGAAAGTGAACAATCAGATAGCGAGTCTGAAGAGTTAACCAGAACTAGGAGTGGAGGAAGCAAGACTGAAGAACCTGAAATTAAAACGTACAAGAGGAAACCGCGAGGACCACCGCCATCGGTAAATACAAATTTATCGAAATTTAGTCTAGTTTGAAAACCACTTTAAAGTCTTAACTAAATAATGCGGTAACAATTAAAAACCCATTTTTTAATATTAATGTTGCCATTTTGACAATTAAAACAAATAAATTTGTCATTTCTTTCAGATAAAGGCTGAGAAACGTAGCAAGGAAAAAGAGGACGACGATACGGAAAAAGAAGAAGACCCCGTCGAAAAAGTACAGAAAAGAACGCGGAAGATTAAAAAATCACCGGAAAAATCGGCTGACGAAAGTGACGACGACAGCGGCAATCCGCCGAAAGGGCGCGATTTCGATTTGAACCAAATCCGTTCGGAGTTGAAAGGTTTTTCGAAGGCAGTACCTGCTAGTGACTTATCGGAAAAAGAAGCAGTTTCGTCTTCGGACGATTCAACGAATTTACCGCCGGAAAAAATCACCGTGGAGGTCATTGAAGAAAAGCTTCAAAAGCCCGAAAAGTGCGAAAAGGCTGAAAAGTCGCCGATAAAACCGCAGGTGATTGAAAAAGTATCGGAGAGTTCCGATGATATTTACGAGTTCAAGGAACCTGAACCGTACGAGTTTGAAAGAAGTAAGTTAACTGACGAAAGAAACACGAAAAAGCGCCTTGGAGTCGTTTCGAGATTGTTCGAAGAGCTAGAAAAATCACCGAAGAAAAAAATAGGCGCGAAATCGCCAACAAAATCAGAAACGAAAGAAAGCTCCCCTGAGGTGGAAAAGAAGAAATACTCCAGATCTCCAGTGAAGAAACAAGAAGAAACCACACCACCGCCACAAGAAAAAGGGGAAAAGAAATCCGAAGATCCATTCGACACCCTAGTGCAATCCCCATCCTTTAACTTTGTGAAAACATCGGATAAACAGCCGCCGGAAAAGTCTTCGGTAGCTCGGACCATACTTGGCAGTGTTGGCGACCTCTTCAACGATCTCAACGACCCTGTCGACGATTACAGTGCCGGCATGGAGTTGTCGGATGGAGAAACGCAAATGCACAACATATTTTCGAGATCCACGAACATATTCCCCGACACTTTCGCGAAGGGGGCGCCTCCACCGGAAGTAACGCAAGTACAAAAAATTGAAGAAAGCAAGCAGAAAGACAGCGACGACGACGAGATTATAAGCGCGCAAGTGCGTCTTCTTATGGCGCAGACATCATCAACCGATGATGATAGTAACGAGCCTCTGTTAATAACGCCGAGCGTCTCGAATTACCAGAAGAAAAAAGACGTCGTCGAAGTAATCAAACCTCAGGTTCTGCCCCAAGTTGAACATGAAAAGCAAAAAGATGAGACTGAAGAATCCGAACCGGAGCACCGCGAGCCATCGCCGATGGAGCTGGAAACCGACGTGATGGAGGATAAACCCATCGTGGAAAAGTCAGTTTTTGTACCTATAAGCTCGAATAAACCACCAAGACAGATTCAAATATCGCCCGCTCTCAAAGAAACGGACAGTGCTTTACTCGAGTCCATAGTTAACTCTGCTGCTCTGGTCACAGCGAAAATAGATGAAGCTAAAGAGTTCAGCGTGAAGAAAACTAGCGGCAGCAAAATTGCTGATTCGATTCTGCAAAAGTTCCAGTCTATTAAGAAAATGGAAGGTAAGAGTCCCAAACGTGATTTTCATGCAGAAGAAGGTAGTTCAAAGAAAGATCAAACAAGTGTTAAGGAGGAAGTTAAACCTAAGGTTATAGAGTTGAAACAGAAACCAACGTGTGATATTAAATTGGAGGACATTAAAATCGTAAAGCCGCTGAGTGAAGTGAAACCCAAACCTATGTTGGAGTGTAAATCGGCATGGTCGATGGTGGAAAATAAACCCAAAAAGGAGGAACTTGTTAAGCCTGTAGTGGAAGTACCTGTACAGCAACCGCTAAAAGTTAAGGTGGAGGAGAAAAAAGCTATTTCGCCGCCACACAAACACGAGGGTAAAAGAAAGAAGGTTAAGAGTAAGCAGTACATTGACGATTCCGATACTGATAGTTCGGATTCTGAGCAATTGGTGATCGCTAGATCTGATGAAGATTCTCAGAGTAATTCTCTGGACGCTATTTCCAAGATATATAAGGAAAGCGATAGCCTATCCAACCAAATCCCGACCACCGACGATTCTCAGTCGCAATCCCAGTCCCAGTCGCAAGAAGAGCGGAACTTCAAGTTCGATGATTTAAAACCTCCTGAGGTTATTAAACCCAAGGTTGAAGTGTTGAAAGAGGAAGTGGTAAAGGACGAACCGGAGGTAAAAGAGGAAGAACCCGATTCCAACTTTCATTCTTTGCTACTCTGCGAAGAAACTATACCGCGTAGCCCGGCTCCGGCCCCAGAACCTGCAATTATCGAAGAAGAAGAAAAACCAACAAAGTCCATATTGGAGATGCCGTTTGCTAGCGCCCCAGGGATGAGTAGCAGCAGTAAGTCTACAGCCATTGTGGTCGAGTTGCCGCCCGGTAAAAGTGCTTCTCCTCCAAAACCTCAGCCCGCCGCGGTGGTGGTACCACTGGATTTGGTGGCGGCGGCAGCGCAAGTTAGAGACAATCGAGGACCAGATGCGTCGGCGGTTTTGGATAACACTCCACCCACTACTCCGGAGAGTACTATTAGCAATTTGTCGCCTAGAGGGTGAGTCCAGTTTGATAATAATAAATATTTGTTGACAAAATCTAGTTAAAACTATATTTACAACTTACAGAACATATTTAAGAATAATACATTACATAAGGAAATTATACAAAAATTTGTTTAAAAATTCTGGATTTTTAAAGTTAAATTTCATTCTGTACGGTAAAGCAAAAACAGTTTATGCGACTTGCTATGGATCGAAATGCTACAACTCTCGTTAGCCAAGCCCATTTTCGATTTAAAATTTCGTTTGTGTTTGTTGTTTCATGCTCAGTGGCCCCCTAGACTAGATTTTACCGGTCTGCCTATCAAACAACATTATTTTCGACATGTTTGCTATCAAAAATGTGTTAACCCAAATATTAAGGAGGTTAGGGGCAAGATATTAGTCGCTATGAGTAGGGTTAAAAAAATTCCGGAAAAATTGATCCGGAGGAAAAAAACCGTTGGGAAATTTTCAGAAAAATTTACTTATGCATTTTATTCAAAGGGTAATACGAACAAAATGCAAATGCTGAAAATTTTCCATTTTTTCCGCCGGCTGTTTTTTTGAAATTCCAAATTTTTACAAATGATATACGTACACTGATAACGAGAAAAAGTGAATTTCCGACGCTGATTATAATCATAATATTATGATTGTAATAATTATTCCTTTTATTTTAATTCTGTAAGAATATTCTACCGGGCCGCAAAAAAAACCTATTCGGTGCCGTATTAACATACAAACTTTAAATTTATTTGACACGTCAATTTATAAAATTATAATTTTTGTAATTTTACTTTAAAAGTCATTCATTATTTTGTAATTGGATATTTTAAATGGACTAATTTTTTCAAAAAAGACCTAACTGACAGTATATTTAACAATTACGTTTATTTTCTTAAAATAATTTAATTTAATTCAATATTTAGTTTTATTTTTTTTCTTCTGTTATAAAGTTGTTCATTGCTACTTTTTTCAAATAACACTGCATATAGAACTGTCATTACGACCATATGAGTACATTAAATGCAAAACTCGGTTTTTGCAAATTTTTAAAAATATATATTTTGTCCTATTTTTGTACATTACTGCACTGCCTACAGCATACCTAAGTAAACCAGATGTATAAGTTAGTATTTGTAGAATAAAATACATTTAAAAACTTTACTCAGATGCAAAACTGGGTATTTGTTTCTTCCTGTCGGATGCAAAACTCGGTATTTGACCAATCGCCAATCACGTCGCTAGTATACGCATTATTTGACGACATAACAATCACCTGATTAATTGTTATAACAATCACCTGATTAATTGTTATTTTTTGGTATTTGCACTTTTCAATTGCAAAACTTGGTCTTTGAACGAGGAAGATGCAAAACTATGTTTTTAAAACTTCTGAATACAATTATTTAGTAAAATACCTAATTTGAAAGGATTTTTTTTACTAGTTTGAATAAAAATGAAGCTTAAGCACGTCTATACAATTTTTACATTTTTACATTTTTTCAAAAATGATCTTATGAGCGGTTTTTCATGTTTTTCTTAAAATCACTTATCCTGCAAATACAGAGTTGTGCATCTAATGTACTCATATATATGGTCCCTTTTGTATTAGAATAAAAAATAATTATAAAATCAGTTAAATGACACATTAATTTTGTTTTTGCAAGGGTACCTATCGCTATTTATGCATTAAGTATACAAGCAATTCCCATTTTCCCGCAATGTACAGCCCAAACCTCTTTAAGGGTCCTTCCATAAATCTCGTGATGCTGGTGAAGGACCGTCACTATTTGTCACGCCTGAGGGGGGTTGGGTTTTTTAAAACCTCACGTGACTAACGAAATTGTTAATTTGTTCCATTTTTAATCAAATTATCACCAAAAATATTTGGAAAAAATATAATTGATATTGATAATTCGTCACATAATTCTTCAGAGGGTCTACATCGTGACATTCTCACATAATGGAGGGGATCCATTTTTAGCGTCACGAGATTTATGGATGTAGTAAGTAATAAAGGTTAACACATTTTTGCTTAGCACGAAAATGTCACATACAATGTTATTGATATGTTTACACAGGTTCTTAATTTAAAAAATGGTAGGACGAATTCGCACAGCAGTTTGATATTAAAAAATTGTATGTCTATTAAAAATGTTTTTATAATACAAATTGACATAAAAATTATCAAAAATGTTTATAAAATATTTTATAAAAGGAGAGATAGTTTTAATAATGGACCGTTGTAGATGGGAAAAAAAATATTTCTCTTGTCTCATCCACAACATTAATAAAATTATCTCTTCTTTTATAAAATATTTCTTACGTTTCTTTTATTTAATGTATAGCCTTATAAAAGACATTTTTAATGAGAAAATGATGCATAATAAACCAATTTTTTTATTTGTCCCGTCCGCATAATTGAAATGGCCCCAATTTCGTAAACCCTTTCCTGGTATGACTGCGGAGAACTTTTACTTCTATAGCGTGTCGTGATTAACTTTTTTAATTTTTAATGTTTTTTATGTGGGATTTTTCCAACAAAGTTTTCTAACCTCATAATTTCAAAACGAATTTTAATATACTAGAAAGTTTGTAGTAGAAACTAAATTATTGAACCTGAACTTGATTTTTTGCGAATTTTCTTTTACATATTTTTATAAAAAATATTTTTTTTAGTGAAAATGGTGGACTATCACCAAGTGCAGCAGATGACAGTTGCAAGTCTAATGATATTGAAAACGATTACCAATTGCACAGAAGAAATTCCACGAACAAAGTAACACCATACAGTGAAGAAGGTACTTACAATAAAACCAGAACAATAATAATAAATACGTTTTCTATCTTGTCTTTTAAATTCTTCATAATAAAAAAATAATCTTTTTAAACTCTAAAATCCTTTTTAGACACTCAGATGACCATCGACGCCGGTACGTCGAAAAAAGACGCGTCTCAGACGCCGGGCAGCGCGAAAAAGCGACGGCGCTCGTGTCGCGCCGAGGACGTTCCGACGAAACGAGGCCGGAAACCGTCGAACCGCGTTCGGCAGAACAGCGACAGCGACGACACGTCGGAGCATTCCACCACAGGCAGCACCAACGTTGGCACCTACGATATTGCAGAGAGAGGGCCACGACCTACCAAGTACAATTTTATAGTCGAACTAGGTAATAACAGTTTACATAAAATTTCTATTATAAACAGTTTTTTAGTAAAATTGTTATTAACTTTTAAAATCTACATTTCAATATTTATCAAAAACAAGATTTTTTTAAAAGTCTTGAAATAATAAGCATCTTAAAAGTATTTATGAAATATTTTTGATGTTTAAACATCTATTCTATTACTCTGCAGTCCGAGTTTCAATAAATGATATTTGCATGTGTGTTTATGGCGTGAGAAATTAGTAACTGTGCATAAGAGATCGATTGTCTTCTTTACAACGTTCTTAATTTCGGGATCAAATAAAAGGGTTTGAAGAGTAGAAAACAATAACAAGGGTGTAAATTTAAAAAAATATATATATACACATCATAAAATAGCAACTGCTTTTTAAACAAACTAACTTAAAATTGGCTTTAAAACAAGTTTTTTCACAGACCTACAAACAATTGTTGGTCTGTGAGTTTTTTGCATTTTTAGTATTGTTTCAAAAATGTCAATTTATCTACATTTTAATAGTATATTATGTATCAAGTTTGATAAACGCCATTTTATACACGAATTTAATTTAGGCACGAGCACAGACCTACAAACAAAATGGACTGGCATTTCCCATTCTAAATACACAATGTTTTGTTGCCAAGAACTATTTAGATTAGGGGTAAAGCCTAAATTATAGATTGCCTTCCTTCCTTTCTCCCGTAGTCGTGCCCGTACGATTTGTGCGTCTTGTAAAAAGTCAATTTATAGATTTCCGTGTAAAATTCCGTAACCATGCGCGATGACACCTAAAATGGTTGACATTTATTTTTGTTTATATTTTGCGTTTTACCCTTTGTGTGTAAATATGAAAGATAATCATTTATATATTAGTGCAGTGATCACAATTTTAATTGCCCAGGCAGCTTGTTGTATACTGCCCAACTATCGAGAAAGGCAGTAACTGCTAGACAAGAAATTTGTGGGAAATTAGCATAAACTACATTTTTATAAAAAGCAGTAGGTATTTAACTGATTTATTTAACTTAAAAGTATAATAATAGGGCAGTATAGTGAAAAAAAACATCGAACAAGACGTTGGACCGGGAAACTACGGGGTTTTACAAAGCAACGTTTCTAAAAATGAAAGACATTGATCATAAACAATATCTAAATATCCTATTTAGATACACAAATTATTTAATAAACTGAACACCTACCTTAAATAATACTAAACAATCATGTATTTTAAATATTTTGTGTCTACGCGCTGTCACCCTACAGCGCATGTCCATAACAAGCACTGTGATTGGTCATGTCAAAGACCTTTACGGTGAAAGATAAAACTTAAAAATTTCTACGGGAGAAAGGAATGTCGTCCTTACGATACGAAAATCTATAACTGGCACTACGATTTAAATAAACATTTTTGACGTAATTGTCACCATTAACATTGCCCGTTATTAATTTTAATTAAACTTAACAATTATAGATACTTTAAAATATTAAAATATCTTCAAAATATGATTTTGTTAAGAAAATATTTTATTCTTTGATTATTTTTATTACTATATTATCACAAAGTATTAAAAATTCTTACACGGGAAATGTTAATGGTAAAAACTACGTAATGTTCATCTTCTACGGGAGGAAGGAAGGAAGGAAGGAAGGGAATCTATAATTCAGGCTTTAAGGAGTAAGGGGTATTTATAAACAAGTTCCCAGTGGCGTTCTGTTTTTAGGGATAAATAAAAATATTAAATTGTACATTTTTTATTGTGTTTTGCAATCCTATGTAAAAATTATATTTAATATATATAAATATATAGGTATAACAAAATACTAACCTTGTCAGTTAGTGTTCCAGATGATGTAGAATCTGGCTCTTTTAATCTAAAATTTAAGTGAATTCATTTATTTATTCAGTTTCTACGCCCCTGGCAGGGTTTGTTTTGTAAATAAACTAACCTATGAAAAGAAAGTTTTAAATTCTTGGATCCAAGTCTTTTACAAACGTAGCACTGCTTCACCATTTTTATATCACGCACTATTGGTATTTTTCACTATAAAATCAAATAAAAGTTGTGGATTGCAAGTATCTTTTACGTAAAATATAGATACTTCAAAGCAAATAAAGTCAGATGTGACAACTGAGGGAAAATATTTATTTTTGTTCCTTTCCACTCTTTTCAATGTAAATAAACCGGTCCATTTGTTTGTAGGTCTGTGGGCACGAGCGAGCTTGCAAGCGAGTTCTTAAATTAATGAGTGTATAGAAAAGTTTATAAACGAGGTGCATACTATACTACGACAAATAGTTATTATTATCTTAAAATGATTTAAATCAAAAATTTGTATAGAGCGCCATCTATGAAACAACAGGGGAAACTGTCAAATGTCACATTTTTACATTTTATAAACACAATTATAAAGGTTATAAATCGAAATGTATATTGAAAATTGACAGTTTTTCACAGTGAAAGTAAAGGAAATATTTTATGAGGACTTTACAGTAGAGTCCGTGCCCGAATTTAAATTATAGTTTAGTGTTAAACCACTTTTATTTGGTGATGTAAACTAAAAAGGTTGAAAAAACAAAGCGGTTTTTTTAACAATAAAAAAAATCTCCAATTTGTGTCAGGAAGTATTTTTAACGCTTTTTTAATTAGTATGGAATTTTTTTATAATTTGAAAAAAAACATCATGTTTTTGAAACGTTTTTTTTTAATTTGAAAAAAGTTTTATTACATCACTACTTCTTTTATAAAGGTTAGTTACCAACAATCTGTTGAAAAAATTACTGTGAAAATCGATAAATAATTATTCTTTGGTATATTTGTAGGTGATTATACCGTGTCAAGATTTACATGTTTTTAATGTAATATATTAAAATACCGAATATCTTTTGACGTAAGTTTAACAGAAAACTATTTAAACAAACAAAAGAAAAAATTGCGTTAGAAGTTTTTTTATATTTTTTGTGAATTACCACTTGTTACAAACTTGTGTTCTGTGGGTACTATGCTCCACACGTGACTTTGATAGAAATAATTAAGGATCATTTTCTGGCTGTGTCAAGCTTATTTTCTGAAAATAACGCAATATATTTTTTGTCTGTACTTAGAACACAAAAAACATATGTATTGTATAATAATACAATACATATATGTATTTTTTGTTTTAAATTAAGACCTTTAGACACAAATAATACATATCGTCACCTGAGAATTATAGTGTTCTATCTGCATTTTGTTTTTTAAATTGAGGTTAGTCTTGTTTTAAGTCTTCGTCCCATTTTCTGAAAATAACGCAATATATGTTTTTTTTGCGTATAAAAGTCTTAACTTCGAACAAAAAAACACTTATTGTATTATTTTTAGGAAATTGGACGCTTTAGATTGACAATGACGGAAAATTAACCTTAATTATTTTTATTAAAGTCACGTGGTGGGACTTTAAAACACGAAAGGATATCGCCTACAATGTAAACATTCACCGTCAATTTATCTACTCATCCAGCTATTAGCTAATGCATTGCTTTAAAAATTTAGTACCTATTTTAAAAACTCCATAATCACTTAGCACTTAACACAAAATTAATTTTTTCATCGTTTTTTTTGTTTACTCTGATAAAATTATCACAGGTTAAACATTAAATTTGTATAGTAAATTCAAAATCACTTCCCTTTACAACAATACTTTACAAGTACGGGTGTACGAAAACAGATTCGCAGAGTTCAAGCTTGCATTCTAAATAATGGAAATTATTTTGAGCATCTGCTGAAAATGGTAATACATTTTTGAATTTTACATTTGCACTGCATTAAAAAGTAAATGACGAGGTTAATTCGCGGTTCTTGATCGGTACATAACACCATGTATATCAAAAATTCTTGTTTTCATAAAAAAATCTTTTACTACAAAATTTGTATTTAATAAAAGAGCGAAAATATTTATATAAACATTTTTTTAGACTCTAGTTTGGACAGCACGCAGCGCATAGCCGTTCTGCAGCAGCAAATGTCCGACCTGAAGAAAACGTACGCCGACATCAAAGCCGAATTGGCGGTGGTCGAGCGGCGTCGCAAGAAAATTCGGCGCAGGGAACGCGAAGGTAAGAAGTATTTAACGTTACGGGCGAGAATAAACGATATTATTGGCCAGGCACCGCAATCGGCCCGCATCGAGCTGGCTCAGCAAAATTAAACCCGGGAAGATATGAACATAATGTACAGCGAGAATTACAGTTTGTTTTCGGTTCGTTTTTTATATGATAAGGTAAATGATTAATTATTAATGTAATATACATATGTAATTGTAACTGTAAGATTGTTGTATAGAGTATAGAAGTGAAATTTTGTATTTTTTATTATTGAAATAATTATTTTTTTTAACAAGTTTGACTTTCTAATTTTATCTAATTACTGAAGCTTAAACAACTAACTAAGATTTTGATTTTTATATTAACACAATATACACAGTGTGCCTGAACAAGATATAAGTCTTTTTATTACTGCTTCTATTTTTTAATAATAATAATAAATAAGCTTTATTGCAAAAAATTAAATACAGCTTTTACAATTTTTACAAATGGCCATTGACCGAGGCCCTTTAGCCGGTGAGAATATCTTGAACATATCATATGTTCAAGATATGATATGTAAAAAAAGTAAACAATTATATGTATTATATTTCTTATTTGTTGAAGTCTTTTCTGGGTGCTTGAATTTTCTGTTGCCCAGTACTTCCAAACATATTTGCTAAGAATGTCATAGTTAGCGTCTTTGCTAATAAAGTTTGTTGAAGGATTGGTGAATCCATAATAATTATTGGTAAAATATAAGTAGCATACAGAAGGTTATTGGGAGGGTTGTGCAGAGAGCTTTTTGGACGTCTCATTTTGAAGATTTTTCGGAGTGATGAGCTTTCCCCAGTTTTAATATTGCTTAGTGCTGGTTTACGAGCATTATTAAGTAAGATACATCCATATTCCAGGTGATATTATTTTTTTTTGTTTTATTATTGATGCTGGCTTCTTTGACAGGGAAGAGTGAAGATTAAAGTTGACTTTATTGTCTATTTAAAAACTATTAAAAGGAAATGTTGCTTCTGTTGGGTTGTCTCTGTTTTGGTTTTTAGCTGGTGCAGTTTGTTTAATTACTTTTTATGCCAGACGCTGTCAAATGCCTTGCAGGTTTTTTAAATTATAGAAAATTCAGGAATTTTATTTAGTCTACCTTTGACATACATACATACACATTTGAACCCCTATTTTTATAATGTTGTAGACTTGGATAATACTTTTTTTATTTGCACATCATTTGGTATATACAGGGTTAGCCACAAATCGCTTCCTTTTTAATATAAAAAAGCGTAAATTCATGATTTTGGCATAAAACAACAAATATTTATTTCCAAAAAATGTTATATATTTTATTTTGTAAAAACGCTCTAAGCTTCCTTTACACTTTTGTGTTTAACAGGTTACAAAACGGCATTCTTCTAAATAATAGTATCATGAAATGACTAAAATCTTATTTGTCTAAAACAATAAAACAAAACACTTGCTTTTCTGAAATAAGAAGAAAATGTGGGTATAATTCAAAATAATCAACCGTTCTAAATTCGCAGTTAAACGTAGTAAAGAAATCCCGCAAAAATGCTTTAGTTATTCTGGTCACAAAAGGAAAGCTTTAAAATTATCAATTAGCCCCAAAGAAGACAAAAAGGTAACATTTAAAATTTTCTGGGAACACGAACAAGACAGTTTGATTTTGACATTAATGGTAAGAATTTTTTTTTTAACCCAATTTACATTTACAATGAAAATGGTCGTCTCAACTGAGAAAATATATTTTTTCTGCTTTAAAGTCAAAAAGTACTTTTTATATACCTGTTTTCAGGGCTAAATGCTTGGAGCTTGAAGAATTTAAAGTGCTAAAAGCACGAATTTACGCTGTAGCTTTTCTTAACAAGAGATTTTTTGGCTAACTCTGTTTATATTAATTGACGTGAAAAAACTATTCTTAAGGTCTTCTTAACAACATAAAATCGGCCCACAAATGAGTATTCTGACAAAAAAAGACCTGAAGATGCACAAAAAAGAATAAAAATTACATGAATTTTCAAAAAATTTTAAAAGAGGAGCAGCTAGGATTTTTACCAAAGTTACCCATTAGTTTTTAGCAGCATTTGTATGTGACTTATACTTCGTTCAGGCACACTGTTTTATATGAAAGCAATGTTTGGGGGTTTAGGTTTGGCTTAAGGTTAAAAAATATAGATTTTTAAAATGTTTAAAGGTTTCGTGCTAGAAAAGTAAGAAAAAAAAAGACGAATTTTGAGTAAAGTTTATTTTTTTATTCGTAATTTGACACATTCGATTATGTTGTTACTGTATACAGGGTGCACCAAGTATCCTTCCATGTGTATACTTTTGAGGGTATTTTTTTATTTATAAAATTTATAAATGGAACAAAAGCCTGCAGTTCTCAAAATATTAAAAAAAAACAAAACTTTCAAATCCAAAAATCGTTATATCTTTATTATTCCTGGAAATTATTAAACAAAGTAAATTTTCATCCAATATTTTCGCTACTATGTTTTGGGTTACCATCACCATCTTTGGTTTTTATAATGGCCCCATGTGGCGGCCATAGGAAAAACAATATGGTGGTGGTATCTCAAAAACTAGTAGAAGAAAAAAATGTAGATAAATGTATTTACCTGCAATACTTACTTTTTTTTAATTCACAGAAATAACGAAGTTTTACCGATTTTTTCTTTTGACAGGTTTTTACTTTATTTTTAATTAGTTGAGAACCGCTGATTTTTTTTCAATTTTTAAATGCCATTTTAACCGACCTTGTAGCTCTTGAAATAAAAACTAACTGTTTTTTTATTAGCTTATCTACAATGACATTTAACGCATTTGTTTTTATATTTTTTCACAAACTTGGTATCTCATCAACTTTAAAATAAATGTCAGAATATTTTCAAATACGATTCCGAAAATGGAACTTAAATTTAAGCGGCCTAGTATTTCCAAAGAAAAGAAACATTTACCATCTTTCCATAAAATTTTGAAAAAAAATCAAATCTTGTCAGAAAAGAATGTCACAAACCGATTTCTCGACATACGGTTAACCTAGCGGTTCCTTGGATTATAAACGTAAAAGAAAACAACAATAATTGTAATGTCTGTGCTTGGTTCAGAATTTAAGGACGCAATTTGAAACATTCGCCACCACAACTATATGTCATCAGAATCTAGTTTGGGCTACCGTACGTGAATTGATAATATCAATTTGATATTAGAAGGATACTTGGTGCACCCTGTATAAATATAGTTTGGTATTTTTAATATTTAAAATTGGTAATTCTTAATTTTACTTTGACATTGTCATTTAAATGTTATAATTATAATTAAAAAAGATAACAAAAAATTCTAAACAAAAATAAATTTTAAAAACAAAACAGCATATTAATTAAATAATTAATTTGTGCTGCATAAATCCACTAAATAATTTTGTTTTACTCAATGTAGCCAATTATAAATTTAAGGTTCCTAGAAGTTGCCAACTAACCCCCAAATTTTTTATGTTATCAAATTCCGAATAAAAAAATTAGGTAAATATATTTTATATACGATTTCCAATTTTATTTAATTTTTCCTCATATCTTTATAATCTTCATTAATTTTTCTGGGATTTCTATATTTTGTTTAAAAAAAACCTGATCGCGTTAAACCAACCGCCAAACTCTTAATCCAAAAGTGCGCAAAATTGTCATTCACAAAGGTTGCGACAAATCACAAAAAGTATTTTATATCGAAATGACGATACCGGTGTGTTTGGACTTATTGCAGCATTGAAGGCATCGAAACAGGAGGCTTCGTGCACCTGATCCAAGCCGGCTGTGCTAGCGACAACCAATCGCAGCAACAACCACCATTCCGCCGCTCTTCCAATCGTCATTTCGAGACTGATGCGCGTGTGCAGAGAGAACGCTGCTGCTGCCTGCGCAGACCGCCGTTAGAGGCGGCTGCGTCGCATCTCGCACCGACCAATCGAAACGCGGCGCTTCCTCTGTCTGCGTTACATAACCTCGCAATCAGGTCGTGAAATGCACCCAGAGGTTGCTTGATTTTGAGTATTTTTTTGAGGTGCATGTTATTTTTTTATTGATATTGGTTTAAATAAAAAAAAATGCATGAAAATGAAAAAAAATATTTCGGATTTTAATTGGACTTTATTTTTTAACTTTTTATACAGGGTCTATCGAAAATGACGAAGTCGGTGTGTCATTTTCGGGACACCCTGTATAAAATTATTATATTGTGTCAATTAATTTTTTATAAAATATTTCATTAAAAACATGTTTTTTCAAAAACATTGTTTGCAGAATTACTAATCTTGTTTTTTTGATCAATTATTTATTATATTGTTATTAACAAATTTAACATTAGATTATACCTACAAGGTGCTTTACAACTCAAGTAATATAATTTTATACAGGATGATTAAAAGTGATTTTTTGACATCATAAATTTATTTTCCTTAAATTGTAAAACAGGGTGTACAAATCGTGTGGACCAGTGACTAATTTAGTGTATAAATCTTGCCATTATTATTATTTTATTAGTAATTCTGTGTACCAATATTGTCATCTATAACATTGTATCATATGTACCTAGTTGTAAAGTATAAAACTAGTTTATCTGAAATTTTTGACTGTTTTTTATGTAATAATTATTGTTAAAGAAGTAATTTTAAGTCAACATGCAGAAATCCAATCAATACTTAAGTACTTATTAAACAGTGTTTTTTTAGGGGTTATGCTATTTTTATCATTGATTTTTGTTTTTATTATTGTTTTTATATTGTTAATTTTTAACCTTTAAAAGAAATACTCGATAATAATATTAATTAAATAAAAAAATCGCAATATTATAATTGATTTAGTTTCTGCATTTATCTACAATTTTTATAGAATTGATTTGGTGTACATAAATTTAAAATTTTAACGTGTATTTATTATTTTATATTTGTACATATGAAGTTGAGCAAAATGTTGATACAATTTTGAATCTTTTAGCCACTGAATTGTAATTAAGAATTTATAGTATTTACGATAAATTAAACTAACGAATCCAGTACTACTTATATAATTGTCTAATTACAAAATTGTAATTAAATTGTATTGTGGCAATATTTTTATATGATTTTATTTATTAGAATAAATAGTATAAAAATGGACATTTATTTTATTTCAATCTAGTCAACTATGTATGGCGCCATCTATTGCCACACGTCAATAATATAGCCGTAACTGGCGCCATCTATGAACAATATGACCAAGTCGTGAAACGTCAAAGTTTAAAACGTCATTTTTCGAAATGACAGTTAAAAATTGACAATGCAGTACTGTTTCTCTTTGGAAAGCGTGGAACAAGTCTACGTGACCATTTTCCCGGATTTTGAGTATGCGGATACGGATACGTTTGAAAATGAAATCGCGGAGTTTTACTCTTATTCGGAAGTTATGGAGTTTCGGGAGTACCTGGAGTTATACGATAAGGAAGTGGGAGAATCGTGGAAAAATATGGACGAAGATCGAAGAAAATCTTGTGTTATGAAAATTTTGAACAATCTGGATTTAAATGATGCTGCGGTGAGATTAAATAACGCTAAAATTATTTTGTATATTGCGCAAGGGTGTTGGAATGAAGTCGATTGTGTGGAGGAGCAGATTTTTTGGCAGAGAAAAAATTGCTTTTTGCTGCAGAAATTGGGGGTTTTTAATGCTTTTGTGGAGCTTTTTGAGATACAGTCAAAAAATGGAAATAAAGATTTATATGGTAATATGCAAGATTCTACGGGTTTTAGAGTTATATTTGGGGTTATGTTCACTATTATTGAAGTTGTAAGAGAGGAAAAAAATAGTGAGGATTTGGAATACAAAGATGACGTGGAAGATTTTTTAAACGAAATTGATAGCATAGGCACTAACTTGATCACAAAGTTAATAGTCTGTTGTACTTCATATAATTGTTACTTTAAATCCGAAGTACCGCTAAAGAAAACATTGCTGGTTCTATGGAAGTTTATTTTGCTTTTTCTTGGAAATACAGACGATATAAATAAATCTAAAAAGATGAAAATGGAGGAAAATGGATTAAAATATATGGAAAGCAGTGAAGAAGTTTTAGAAAAGCATAAATACAAAGAGAAAATCCTATGGGAACCAAAAGTACACCAGGAGGAAATAGAAAAATACATTAACTGTTCTAGATTCAAATACTTTAACTTTACTTTGCTTAACGATCAGGATACTTTGGTTGGTTTACCACCAAACATAATTGAAAGCATTAAAACAATGAAAAAACATGCCTACATCCCACTAACAAAAATCCACATCAAGGAAGAAATGGAGTCCACAAAAACGGACTTGGTCTATGAGGCTATGTTGCCACATTTCCGTGAACTAACCTACCTATTCTCGAATCTTCTAAAATGCATTGTGACTGACTCAGATGTGAATATCCAAAACGAAACCATGCCTGTGTGCGTTGTGATGCGTCCAGTGTACATTCAAGGCTTTGCAGTGAACATAGCAAGACACAAGGAGATAATTCTGAAGGCGGTATCTGGGTTATCTCTTTTGCTTTTGCGGCATTTTAAAACTAACCACGTATATCAATTTGAATGCATGGCCATGAATATGATGATGGTGGGATTTATAAACAATATTTTCATGTATTTGAGGAACGATATCGAGACTTTGATGCAGACTAATTATTTTATCAAGCGGTTGGAATTTCCGTACTGTATCATTGGTGGACCACCGAAATACGATTCCAATACGACTGTGGGGTGTTCATATTTATACTATTCTTGGAGGAATATGTTTGTTTGCACGAATTTATTAAGGATACAGAATAAAATAACGAAGAATAAACCCATGAGGATACATTTATTGCTGCAAACGGGGTTAAAGAGTCTTCAAAATGTTTTGGAAATTAAAAACCCTTTAATAGAGTTATATACTTTGAAACTTATCAAAATGGTGGCAAAATATATGGGAAAAAAATGGCGCTTAAGTAATCTAAAGACAATCAGTAAAATTTACAATAAGGTCCGTCACAAAATTTGTGATAATTGGTTATATTTAACCGACTTCGATATAAAAAACAAACTTGATAAAAATGCAAGCGAATTTAAATTACAACAAGAAATAGATAAATACAACATGCAATTCTACGCGTTAGGTGATGTGGAAACTTCCAAAAGATCCCTAAATTTTATCACCAAAGATTTTGAAAAAAAATACGAAGAATTTTTAAAAACTGAAGTTTACGAAAATACTTATGATTGGAACGAAATTTTAGGCGGTTATCTTTGATTTAATAAATTGTTATGAACGAGTCCAAAGCGTTTTATTAAATAAAGGCCTAATTAACTTAACGTAGGTATTCGTATTTCCCAGCGGAATTCTAAAAAGCTACTAGACCATGAAAGAAAGGAAGCGACGTCACTAAATGCTCAAAATCCACAACAACCTGCTGAAACAGTTAAAACAGTTGTAGGAAAAAAAAACAAAAATCACCAAAAGTTCGTAACATAAAAAGCGTTAAATGAACCGATATTTTACAAGAGTATTACGTTTACAAACATAATATTCGTTTGGAATTATTTAAAAGAACTTTCAATTTGCTAATTACCGAGTAAACAAACTCATGTAAAAACGAACTAATTTCAAATTTACACACGCATTAACGGCCATTAAAAATGCATCAATTAATAAATATATTTGATTCCTCGTTTAAAAATATTTGCAAATATATTTATATATATATATGAGGAGAGATTTTTCAAAAGGTCGTATTTCCATTTGCAACAATTTTTCAAAAAAAATGACTATAACCTGTATAGGTTAGGGCAATATAGATTATTTAAAAAAAAATTCTGATGAATATTTAATAATACTTCAGACCTGCTGTCATATTTCGCCGTTAATATATGCCTTTTAACCATACCTTTGGGATTTTGTCAAAAAAGTACACTCAAGTAAAAATGGAAATAAGGCCTTTTGAAAAATCACTCCTCATATATGACGCTTCGGCTTTGAAAAAGTCGGCATTTAATGAAAATCACCCCCATAATAATAATGGGGGTGATTTTCATTAAATGCCGACTTTTTCAAAGCCGAAGCGTCACAAAAAAATGAGGATCCGAGTTCACTTTCCTATCTTTAACTAAATAAATTATTATTATTATTATTAAATTGTTTTGTCAAAATTTGATATTTTTTGAATATCTATTTAAAAATAGTGAGAGAAATTACTCCTAAGTAAGCTAGACCCTACGTACAGGGTACGTAAAGCCCCTTTATATTATATACAGTGTGCCTTGAAAATAGTGTGCAATAGTCTACAAGGGGTTTTTAGAGCCAATAATAGGAAGGAAACTTAAGTTTTAAATTTATATGAATATAGGTCGGCAAATGGCCCCTAAGGACCTACAGCCTCTTAAAGGGGCGCCCCTATTAGGGGAAGAAGAAAAGACTTTTTTATTGATATTTCCAAAAGGGTCCATCTTCAGGGGCGCCTGTTAGGAGCTATTTGCCGACCGCGTTTATGGGAAGTTTTCTTCCCATTTTGTCTTTAGAAACCGCTATATAGGGTGTTAAAAATTGGACAAAAACGTCAGTTCAAGGTCATTGACGAACTTTAAATCAATTGTACTTTTAAACTGTTTGCCTAATCAGGTCAAGCCAAGACGACCTTTTTTACTTAAAAAAACTATCTATTATTTAATAATGTTGGTTCAAAATGGCAAAAAGTAAGTACATAAAAAAGCTAGGGTTACATGTTTTAAATTCCCACCCTGTTAGGTATTTATATCAAATGTCACTCTTTTATCTCCTCAGGTTTTGGAAATATTTAGGAAAAAACATTTTCAGGGACCGACTAAATAATAAAAAGTGAAATTTGGTATAAATACCCATAAAGGGGCTCGGCTCACTAAGGGGTGGTTTCTCGCACTATGTATACTTTTTTTTTATTATTTTGTGAAGTTCTATCCCTGGTAACTTTTTTAGCAACCATTCGTTAACGTATTTAAATTGTAAAAATTAAATAAAATTTTAAAATCATGTCAAAAAACACTATTCGTTTTGTATTTTTTAGGTACCAAACTTTTTGATTAATTTTAATTTAATGTAGCTATAAAATTAAAATAAACTTTATGGGCTTGTTTTTTCGTAATTGTTCTTATATATATATATTTCTTTAAAACAGTTTTTTAAATTAGAATCTAATAGGTTTATACTTTTTTAATATAATTTTGAGCAATTGTTTGTGTTTACCTGAATTTGTTATAGAAAGTTTATTATTTAACATATTTTTCGACTTTTAAATTTTTTAAAAGTTTATACCTACAATGAGAACGATTATTTAAACTTCCTCCAGCTCCTGACTTTGTTAACGTATAGTATTGTACCTACGTATAGTCGTAATAAAAAAGCATGTAGAAAATAAATAAATTAAATATCTCCCGCTTGAAAATTACATCGCCGAGAAATATAAAAATTCGCCTCCCCCTCTCTCACGCTTACTCAACTCCCCTTACGACCCCTCCTCGCCCCCACCCGTCGTTCTGTGTGTGTATACGCCGCCAACCCCGGGCGCAAATCAAAGGGGGCGCGCATGCTCTGTTGCCGGTTTCATTTGTTTGCGCCACTATTCACTTGTTTTGGCGCACGGTGACAAGCTAGCCTTGTATTGAATGAAAAATTAAAAAAATGCTGACAAAGCTAATTTTTTGTTTTTTAACTTTTTACTGAAACTATTATTATTATATTAATTATTATATGTGTTTATAATTTTAAATCCTTTTTTATTTGGGTTTTATTTATTACAAATTTTAGTTTTTTATTAATTTATTAAATATCCAATATGATTATATAACGATTTTTTGAGTTAAACATTAGGGAAAGAATCCAAGAAAACCATAGAATAAGAAAAAATACATACACTAAAAAATGCTACCTATGCTTTTTAAATAAAACATAATTTATATTAATTTTGGAATATTGATTATTCATTAATCAAATTCTTATATTTGTAATAATTTTGCTTTTAATAATCTTTGAACTAATTTGGTATTTTATTTAAAACTTTCTATTTTTTTTTACAAAAACAAATGTTTTTTAAAATATTTCAAGCGATGATAAACATTTTAAATAACATTTTTTCTAAAACATTTGTGACCCAAATATTAAAAATTTTAAACCCCGGTGCGGCAACGGGGTCCTTGTCTAACTCATTATTAATTATGTATCGCTGTCTCCCTCGTGACGTCACCCGCTATGCTCGATGGGAACTTCACATTGTAAAGTTACGCAATGTTGCCAAATTTACGTGAAGTTTAATTGCTATTTTTTAACGGCAAATTACAAAAATCCTTATAGAAAACCGCCGGAATAACAAAAATGTATAATATATTGTCTAAAAATGTTGCACATTTGCCACAATCTAAGCTTAAATTCGTTTAAACTCCTTGGAAAACGTTCAAATTTCGAATTTCAAACCATGACATTTGGCAACGTTGTAAATGATTGGAGCAGTTGTTTTTCGTCCTCCTCTCTCGATCGGCGACTGTTTTATACGGCAGCTGTCTCGCTCGCTCCCGCAACAGTCCCTTTTTATAGTCAAACAGAGCACAGGGCCGTATTATAGGTCGTATTGTGCGAATCAAAAAAAGAGACAGGGCCGAAATAACTTTCTTTTTTACAGCAGCTCTAGAAAATTTAAATTGTAAAGTGAATCCCGCGCAGCAACGCTATAGCACACAATTTTATAGTTTTTCTTTGATATGCCGAATTAAACATCTAAAAAAGGTTGCCATAGAAACAATTCTTGAATTTAAAAATAAAGCATCTGAAAGATGGTGTAAAAAATCAAAAATAAATATATAACTTAATTTTTTGAACAAATTTTAACTGTATTTATAAAACACCATTTAAAAATTGTCTAGGTACATTACAATAATAAATATAAAATTTAATCTTAAGACCCACCCCTACTAACTCAAAAAAAATTAAACTTAAACTTTCTGAGACACCCTGTATATACTTAACTTTAAAAAATGGCGAAAGGGCCTGAAGCAGTTTTAGCTATTACCTTACTTAAAAGCTACACTGTTTAAAATATGTAATTTAAAAAATAAAAGTGGACTTAATACAGTCGTGTTCTTGGGTACAGTCAGTAATTTTTTTATAGAAAATTTGTGATTTAGTAAATCTATCATTGTTAATTTTGTTATATGGTGTCCAGAATCGCGATGTCATTTAAAGAAAACTTTTTAAATTATTGTTTTTAAAGTCTACTTGCAACACTGTTTAAATTTTAAGATAAAATATTCTAAAATATCAAGTGGTTAAGAAACAGATTATTAACTTATCAAACTGAATTATTATGTGTGAAATACATAAGTTTGACTAACGTCAGATGTATTTTATGATATTTTGTTTCAAAAAATGCAAAATTTATTCACATTAAAATTAACCTTGGTTAAACATCTCTTACTATAATTTGGTTTAAAAACTCTTTTTTCAGTCTGAAGTAAAAAATTTTGAAAAAGTATAACTATTTCCTAAATATTATTACTAAAAATACTGAAAATTCTATTAATTTCTGTACATGTTTCGACTTGAAACAAACCAAACATTTTTGTCAAGAAAGACGTGCGTTTTAAAATCTGGTTGAATTTTCTAAATTCCGCTTAGCGCTCCGCTCGCTATAAAATATTATATTTTTAGTAAATTAATTCTTGGAACTGTTTGTGTGTGTGCGCTCGCTATATATTGGACCTGCGCATTGGTTGCCACAATTTGAAAGTGTAAACGATGACTTGGCGTTGTAGGTAAAGGTTTTAATAATATTGCACACAAATTTACTAAATATTACTGTTACTACGTTGGTACACATTTTTGGGTTTTACGAAATGCTGTATGGTTTTTTGGAAGGTTTTTTAGGAGAATATAATTTTTAACGAGCGACAACTTAAGGGGACCCACCGTCTATAGACTTTGAAGGGGAAGTTTTTATGTTTAAAAATAGAATCTATATGCGATCCGGTGTTGTTCCAAATACAAAGTTTCTTAGTAAGGTAGAAATAATAATAATGATTATTGAAAAATACGAAAAGAAATAAAACATCCGTACATAAAATTTATAATTTATAATTTACATCCGAACATATAATTTATAGTGGGAAATATCAAATAAATTATTTATTTATATAAAATTGGTGTTTTAAAAATCATTTTTTATTACATAACCACAAATAAAATTTTAAAGCTTGCCAATATAATAATATAAAATAATAATATTTGGTAAT